CATATACATATCTATATACATAGTCTGTATTACAGTTACAGACATACATATATTATATATATATATACATGCGAACATATACATGCAGACATATACATATATATACATGCGAACATATACATATCTATATACATAGTCTGTTTACAGACATATACATATATGAAAAAATTCTTTTTTTTTTTTTTTTTTTTTTTAACCGGGTACCCGGTCGGGTACCCGGGTAGAATTTCTAATACCCGGACCCGACCCGGTTTGGGAGCACCGGGTACCCGAACCCGGGAAAAACCCGGTTACGTCAAAAATTACCCGATCCGGTCGGGTAATACCCGACCGGGTCGGGTTATACCCGAATAACCCGACCCGAATGCCCACCCCTACTATCAATTATGAGATTTTTTATCCTTAAGTTGTAGGTCTGTGAAGAGACAAAAGGACATGAAATATAATAATGGGAAGTTGCTGACAGAAATTGAAATATAAATTTATAGTAAAAGACAATCTCAGGACACGTCTGAATGCAATAATGTTTTGCAAAAATACATCTTTTACCACCGATTTGATGGGATTTGCACTTTTCAAATATAGTTTTATGGTGCTTTGCACCCTCAAATTATAATTAATAGCACTTTGCACCCAAAAAGACAATAAATCATGCGCAATGCACCCTTGTTGAGTTTTTTAAGTTAATGAAGGTAATTTAATATTTTTAGTGATATTTTGCATAATGTCTAAATATTAAATTAAAACAATTAATATTTGTCAATGATTTCAAAACTAAAATATGCAAAAATAATAATATAGCTCATCAAGATATTTAGTAATTATATATACTAGAAAAATTCAAATCCCATTAATTAAAAAGAGAGAATAAAAAGTTGTTTACTATATAATTTTTATTAGTAATGATAATTGAATTTCCGTTAATCACGAAATAAAGAAACCTCCAACTTGAATGGCTGAAAACAACCTTAACATATATAAACAAACACCAAATGCTACCAATTCAAAACCTACTCATTTACTCAAACACTCAAATATTATAATTTTTTTTTGAATTCGCCGCAAATATTCTCGATTACGATCATCAAAAATGATTTACGGCGAAATCGCGATGATTTACGATATCGGCCTTATAATTCTCTCGGTAAGCATCATAATTTTTGCAGTCACGCTTTGCGTACTCTGCAAAAAGAAATCAGTAACCGGGGTAGAGGAGGAGGAGGAAGAAGAAGAAGAAACTGTTCGGGTTGCTAAGGTTTCCGCAACCGCATACCCGTTAACGGAAATCGACGCCGCCACAGACGGCTTCAACAGCCGCAGAATCATCGGAAAAGGGAGGCTGGGCACCGTCTACGTGGCGGTGATGCGGCCGAAAGGAGAGCTGGTGGCGGTGAAGAGAATCCACCCACGCCTTGTGTTGAATAATGCTGGATTTGGCTTCTCTTCCATACTAAAGTACCTCTCTTTAGCTGATCATCCGCACGTGGTTCCCATCACAGGTATTATTATATATATAAATGTACACGGGTATACGTATATATTGATTTTATTGCATTTAGTACCTTGTTATATCAAATTGCTAAAAAGGCCCCTGTATCGATTATATTTTCTAAAACACACCTTGTGAAGTAGTTTTTTTAGTGTAGAGCACATAAATGATGAGGTGTTAGGGGTAAAAAGTTTAAAGTATAGGGAGATTTTTGCTAATATCTTACTTTTAACAATTAGATTAAACAAAATTAGGGATGGAATTCGGAACTAAAATTTCGATTCCAATCCAATTGTTTTCAATTACGGAACAATATTTTTGATTCCGAATTCTGAAAATTATGATTCCAATTTTTCCGATTTTTTTGGATTCAAATTGAAATATTTATGAGATTTCAATTTCTCATGTGATTTTAATTTCGTAAAATAATTCAAAAAAAAATGTTTTTTACCCAAAAATTGCACATATTGTTATATTTTAGGTGACTGAAATACTGAAAACTTCCGAATTTCTGATCCAAAAATTTCCGGATTTTATAACATTTTTTTTCATTCCAATTTGCGGAATTCGAATTTAGATTTTCCGATTTTGTTGGAACAAAATTAGAATTATTTTTTTCAGTTTCGAAATGTTTTTTGAAAATTTCAAAAAGTTATAATTCCGATCACATCCCTCCGATATCGACACCTAAACATAATACAAGAAACCCTGTATTGAATTGTCCAAACAATATATTAATTTTACAGAGTTACTAATGTTTCGACTTGTTTGAGACCTAGGGTTTTCCGAGGGTCCAGGAGAAAGAATCATAGTAATGGAATTCGGAGGAATGCTGAGCCTCGATTTCTACCTCCATCAGAATCCCGACGGTGGGGCGCTTCTCGACTGGAGCCTGTTAAGTGTATAATTATACACTTAATTGTACCTCTTAATTGGAGCTTTTGGTGTGTTTTAATGATAATTGGTGCTTAAAATGGCTATTCTTTGTATTTTAGGTGCAAATTGGAGAATTGACAACTTTTGGGGTGAAAACTGCAATTTCGGAGAAAAAGTGGGCCAAAAGTGAAAAAAGCAGAATTCTGGAGAATTAAAAGACCGCACGGCCGTGCGGATTTTAGTTCTCAATCTCACACGGCCGTCCGGGTGGACGTGAAGGCGCAGTGAAGGAATTTTAATTACACAAGGAAACCCGCCCTATTATATTTTTGCACCCTATTTAAAGGCCAAGAGCACACAATTAGATCGATCTTTTACCTTTTATTTTTATTTGGAGTTTTTATCGTTTCTACACGCAATCGAGGAGCAAGAGAACGAAGACGAAGACTTGACGAATCTTCATCCTAGTTTCCTTTTTCCTTTTCTTTTCTGATTTTTATGAATTTCCGTATTTTTATTATGCTTTTCGTTACGAACATGAGTAGCTAAGTTTTTATTCTAGGATTTTATTGGAACCCTATGTGGTAATTCGAACCTATTTTTCTACTTTTATGCAAGTTTAATTCTCCGATTATTTCTTCTATCTTGATCGTATTTAGTGCATGAGCGTAGCTAACTTATGTTGCTATTCGTTATTGTTAGAATTGATTGACAGATCGTTTTAATAATTAGAACAGGGATAGAAGAGCCTTCGAGTAGTTTTTCACCGAATGCGTGTGTTGATTGCATGTATTATCGTAGACATACAGATAATACCTTAGGTAGCCGTTTTCGAGACTTGTTATTTAATGCTTTATTTATACTAGGTTTGCATAGACATATAGTGAATCTTTTATGAATAATAGGTTTATAGCGCAGCGACAGCTGGTTATGAATAATTTCGTGTCTTGGGTTAATAATCGAGAATCGTAACTTGCATGATAGGAGATTAATTGGGTGAAGAATTACCGCATAGGGGGAAGATAAAATCCTAGATCCGTTTATTATTGATATTTTCTCGTGATTACTTGCTTTCTTAATTAGTTTAATTTATTTAGTTAATTAATTTGACAACCCTGCGTAGGCTGGATAAAAATCACAATTGTTAGGATTTGGTACTTAGGATTAAATAATTTACGTATTCCCTGTGGGATCGACATCCGACTCTCACGAGTCTACTTTACTACTTGTTTGCGATACGTACACTTGCGTGTTGGTATTTAGCACCCAACAAGTTTTTGGCGCCGTTGCCGGGGAATACGGCTAAATTATTTATTTATCCTAATATTAAATTTGAGCAATTTTTCTTACTTCAGCCAATTTTTTTTTTTATTTTATTTAATTATTTTTTTTATTTTGTTTTAGGTACTTTTTATGCGAAGAGGACACGACACGAGCTTGCTACCTCTTGATCCCGAAATTGAGCGAACGTTTAGGCAAGCTAGGAGAAATCAACGGTTAGCCCAAAACACTCCGGCAACGATGGAAGACGAGAATAATCGTGGGGGAGGTGACCAAGGGCGCCTACTGAATGCGGCGGGGGAAATCGTTATCGAGCAAGAGCAGCGCCAGCTAATCAATCCACCACCGCGTCAACGGGCACTGCATGAGTACACCGTCCCGACACTCAATGGGTTCCAATCAAGCATCCAGCAGCCCCCCATTGAAGCCAACAATTTCGAGATTCGAGCGGGACTCCTCACGATGCTCCAAAACAATGGTCTGTTCAGCGGATTGGCTCATGAAGATCCACATCTTCACTTGGTCAACTTTCTCGAAACGTGTGACTCGCACAAGATGAACGGAGTAACACCCGAAGCACTGCAACTCCGCCTGTTCAAGCACTCCCTACAAGGAGCAGCCCGAGAATGGTTGCAAACTCGTGCACCGCACTCCATCTCGTCGTGGGCCCAGCTAGCTCAACTTTTCATGAACACATACAACTCCCCAGCAAAAACTGAGAGAATCCGGCGAGAAATTCAAAACTTCATACAAGAAGCCGGAGAAGCATTATTCGAGACGTGGGAGCGGTTCAAGCAGCTAGTAAGGAGGTGCCCGAATCACGGACTACAAGAGTGGCGCCAACTGCAAATATTTTACGATGGACTGCAAGACAACTCGAGGACCGTGCTCGACTCTGCAGCTGGAGGCATGTTCATGAGTTTGACTTACGACGAAGCATACGAACTCTTGGAGCGAATTGCTAGAAATAAATACATGCGGGCATCGGATAGGTCAAACAGCGGAGCAGTCAAGACGGGAGGAATTTTGGAGGTAGACGGAGTCACTGCAATCACGGCCCAATTGGAAAAGCTATCGAAGCAAGTAGCTGCTTTGCAGACTCAGCAAGCCCATGCAGTCCAAGTTCCCGACCAGCGCGTAGAAGAAACGGAGTCTCTGAATTATGTGCATGACACCAACCGACAACAGAGGAACCCGTACTCCAACACATACAATCCCGGATGGGAGGATCACCCTAACTTTGGGTGGGGAGGAAATCAACAAGGACCAAGGCAAGCACCACCTCAAGGTCAACCGCCTAATTATTCACGACCAGCGCCCGGATTCCAAAATCCGCCTCAAGCCCAACCTCAAGGAGGAGATCTCGCAAACATCTTGGCGCAATTTATGACAACCACCCAAGCCTCCATCCGCAATTTAGAAACACAGATGGGTCAACTTGCAACCCAACTAACAGCGAGGCCATCGGGAGCACTGCCATCAAACACGGAAGATCCTCGGAAGAACAATGTCGAGCAGTGCAACGCCGTGAGTTTAAGGAACGGGAGACAATTGGAGGAGGCCCCACGAAAGGAGAAGCAAAACACGGTAATCGAGGAGCCGAATGAGATTGAGGAAAAAGAAGCAACTCGCAAGGAACCGCCATCTCCCACAGTGATCTCACGAGTCCCTCAAGTCCCATATCCTCAAAAGCTTCAAAAGAAGAAGCTCGATGCCGAGCACCAAGGATTCTTGAACAAGCTGAAGGAAATCCACATCAATATTCCTTTTATCGAAGCCATTCAAAAGATGCCAAAGTGGGTGAAATTCCTCAAGGAGCTCGTAACAAAGAGGAATAAATTGCAAGGGAATGAGATCATCCAACTCACGGAGCAATGCAGTGAAATTCTTGTACGACCCCTTCCACAAAAACTCGGCGATCCAGGTAAGTTCACTATCCCTTGCACTATCGGAGGTAGAAATTTTAGGTCGCTCATTGATTTAGGTGCCAGCATTAATCTCATGCCTTATTCCATTTACAAAAATCTTGGGTTAGGTGAGATTGAACCAACGGCTATAACCCTTCAATTAGCTGATAGGTCTTTAGTTTACCCAAAAGGTATTCTAGAGAACGTGCTAGTAAAAGTGAATAAATTTATTTTCCCTGTGGATTTCATTATACTTGATATAGATGAAGATAGGGAGATACCTCTTATTCTAGGAAGGCCGTTTTTAGCCACGTCGAAAACTCTAATTGATTGTGCTAGTGGTGATCTTTCAATGACAGTGCACGATCAAACGATCAAATTTAACGTTTTTAGCACTAATAAAAATCCATGTGATGATAATGATTGTTATGCTATTGATCTTGTGGATTTTACAAATCATGAAGATTTTGACGTTTTGATTTTAGACCATGGGAAAGAATCTTTAAGTGCAGGAGATGGTGGCGGAAAAGATAGTCGGACGGAGCAAGTTTATTGTGCAAGCTCAATTTCAACTCCGCCGAGGGACAGTCAAAAGAGTTGGGATGATAACAATGATGAACGTGCAAGGTGGATGTGGCCACCTAACGAACCAAACGAGCATTATTGGGGAGAGGAATTCAATCGCCAAGTGACTTCGGTCACGTTAGCTTGAACAAAGAAGCAGACAAAGTCCGGCTGAAGACTGTAAACTTAGCGCTTCTCGGGAGGCAACCCGAGCTTTCGTTTTTTTTATTATTTTATTTTTTTTTGTTATTTTAAATTTGTTAGTTTTGCTTTTATTTTATTTTATTTTATTAAAAAAAAAAAAAAAAAAAAAAAAAAAAGTTTCAGGGGCACTAATAAGAAGTTTTTATTTTGCAGGGACCTAAATGCAATTATTCACACGGCCGTGCAAGAAAAAGGGAGGAAATTCACACGGCCGTGTGAATTTCGGGGATGCTACTGTATAAAATCCGGAAATGGGACGGCCGTGCGGATTTTTCCCTTAAAAATCACACGGCCGTCCTAAAATTGAAGCCACTACTGCCCAAATATGCAAAATGGCACGGCCGTGCAGATTTAAGGCCAAAATTCCGCACGGCCGTGCGAAGAAAAAAAAAAAAAAAAAAAAATTGGTTTGATGCATCGATGACTTATGATGATGGTAGATGGTCAATGTTTGATGATGAAACTACTTGTTTTATGTTGATAAGGAGTATGTATTTGTTTAGCTTTCGATTCAACGGAACGTAGAAGTGAATTATTGCTAGGAATCACACCTTGTGCTTTGCTTTGGTTGAATGTTTTGCATGTTAAATTTGGAATTTATTTGTGCTCAATCATGCTTTGTTCGGTTTTAAATCTCACCTTAGGACATCTATGATACGAAGTGTTGGGTAGTAAGTGATTTGGGAGATGATTTGGGCCTTCTTTGAACCGTTTGAGCCTTTCAAGCCTACCTTTAAATTTTTATCCTTAGAACCTTGATTTGAGCCTCGGAGAGAAAAGGTGTTCTTTCTTTTAGCCAATATGTAGAAGGTAGAAAAGTGGAGATTTTTGAATAATTATCCCTTGGATTTCGGTCGAAATGTTTTATAAGATCTTTCTTCTTCTTCGAAAAAAAAGAAAAAAAAAAAAAAAAAAAAAAAAAAAAAAAAAAAAAGATAAAAAGATAATAGATATATATGTGCATCTTTATATATATATATCTAAATTCCTCGATTCGAAAAAAAAAAAAAAAAAAAAAAAAAAAAAAAAAAAAGAAGAAGAAGAATAGATTAGAAGGGAGAAATAAGGACTAGTGGAGGAATTGTGTTGAAAACTCGAGTCATTGCCTCAAGGCAAAAGTGTTGACGTGTGAATTTTGGAGAATCGAGTTTATTAAAGTCCCTAGAGGTGAATTCATTGTTTCAAACGCCTATCTCTCAAATTTTGGCGTAATCACCTCAATTCAAGAAAATTAGCCACACATTCCCATATTACCTACCTCGGACCAAAGAGCCTAACAATTGAAAGCCACAAAGTCCCAATGATCCCAAGAGCTTATTGTTCAATATTAGTTGAGTAGAATAATTTGGTGAGTATTTGGAGTCAAATATATGCATGTAAGTATAAATTCTTTCTTTCTTTAACTTGCAAATATTGGATACTTGAAGCAATTGTATGATTTGTGGTTTTTGGTAATAATGAGTGACTAAGGGCCGTTGAATGTTAAGCTTGCGAATACCTATGAATTGTCATCATAATTGCAAGTTCTGAAAACGCGAAGTTGACCCATCGATCTATGTAATGAGATGTATGGTTTTATTTTGTGCTATTTTATTTGATTTTACTTGAGGACAAGCAAAAGTTCAAGTTTGGGGGTGTGTTAAGTGTATAATTATACACTTAATTGTACCTCTTAATTGGAGCTTTTGGTGTGTTTTAATGATAATTGGTGCTTAAAATGGCTATTCTTTGTATTTTAGGTGCAAATTGGAGAATTGACAACTTTTGGGGTGAAAACTGCAATTTCGGAGAAAAAGTGGGCCAAAAGTGAAAAAAGCAGAATTCTGGAGAATTAAAAGACCGCACGGCCGTGCGGATTTTAGTTCTCAATCTCACACGGCCGTCCGGGTGGACGTGAAGGCGCAGTGAAGGAATTTTAATTACACAAGGAAACCCGCCCTATTATATTTTTGCACCCTATTTAAAGGCCAAGAGCACACAATTAGATCGATCTTTTACCTTTTATTTTTATTTGGAGTTTTTATCGTTTCTACACGCAATCGAGGAGCAAGAGAACGAAGACGAAGACTTGACGAATCTTCATCCTAGTTTCCTTTTTCCTTTTCTTTTCTGATTTTTATGAATTTCCGTATTTTTATTATGCTTTTCGTTACGAACATGAGTAGCTAAGTTTTTATTCTAGGATTTTATTGGAACCCTATGTGGTAATTCGAACCTATTTTTCTACTTTTATGCAAGTTTAATTCTCCGATTATTTCTTCTATCTTGATCGTATTTAGTGCATGAGCGTAGCTAACTTATGTTGCTATTCGTTATTGTTAGAATTGATTGACAGATCGTTTTAATAATTAGAACAGGGATAGAAGAGCCTTCGAGTAGTTTTTCACCGAATGCGTGTGTTGATTGCATGTATTATCGTAGACATACAGATAATACCTTAGGTAGCCGTTTTCGAGACTTGTTATTTAATGCTTTATTTATACTAGGTTTGCATAGACATATAGTGAATCTTTTATGAATAATAGGTTTATAGCGCAGCGACAGCTGGTTATGAATAATTTCGTGTCTTGGGTTAATAATCGAGAATCGTAACTTGCATGATAGGAGATTAATTGGGTGAAGAATTACCGCATAGGGGGAAGATAAAATCCTAGATCCGTTTATTATTGATATTTTCTCGTGATTACTTGCTTTCTTAATTAGTTTAATTTATTTAGTTAATTAATTTGACAACCCTGCGTAGGCTGGATAAAAATCACAATTGTTAGGATTTGGTACTTAGGATTAAATAATTTACGTATTCCCTGTGGGATCGACATCCGACTCTCACGAGTCTACTTTACTACTTGTTTGCGATACGTACACTTGCGTGTTGGTATTTAGCACCCAACAGAGCCGCCGCCTGCGGATCGCCGCGGGCGCCGCCCGAGGACTAGAGTACCTCCACAAAGTGGCGTCTCCGCCCGTGATTCACGGCTGCGTGAAGCCGTCAAACATACTAGTGGACGTAAAATTCTGCGCAAGGCTATGCGACTACGGGCTGCATTTCCTTGCGTCGCAAGAAAGGCAAGGGCTCGCGGGGTACGTGGACGAAGAGTATTGGTTGAACAAAAGTGGCGCTTCGAAAGAGTGTGACGTGTTTGGATTAGGTGTGGTTTTGTTGGAATTGTTAAGTGGGAGAAGAAGTGATTATTATCAAGAAAATGTTATAAATATTGTCCAATGGGCATTGCCTTTGATTAAAGGGCTTAAATTTAGTGAACTATTTGACACTAGGCTTGCAATTCCATTCAATATTGAGCCACTTGTTAGATTGGCTAGGGTTGCTTTGGCTTGTGTTGGGAATTCTAGGCCTAATCGTCCTTGTATTGCACAAGTGGCTACTATTTTGACCAATTTAGAAATGGATTTATATTAATTATTTTATTGCTTATTTATTCGGGTTTTTTTTCTTCATGATTAATACTCATTTTTAGGGACGGGATATGGGTTTTTTTTCCGATTCAAATCTTATACTCTGATGGTAAAGACTAGGTATCGCGTCGCGTCTCGTAATTTAGTTGAGATGATTGATTAGAATAAAGATGAATTTAAGCTAGCTAACTAATAAGGGTCTTAGTCATATTGACATAGGCGAATAGCAAAAAGGCCAGTCAATGGGACTTAAATGCATTTTGATCCACAAAAAAACTGTCTCTCAATTAACTTCATCCCCATGTCTTTAGTCTAAAATACCCTCCATAATATAATTCTTATCAATTCCACCCATTATGCTCTAACTTCATTAATATTACACACTGACCCCTGATTTTCATAAATATATTCATCAACCCCCAAATTAATTTTAGAAAATAATTTTTTTCTGAAATGTTTTTTTTCCGGCCAAATTCCGGCGTTGACTTTTTTCTTTTTTTTTTTTCCGGCCGGTCAACCACCTTTGACCGCCAGTAATTTAGTAGCAAAGACAATAATATTAATTAAAATATTTTTGAAGAAAAAAAAAGTCAATTTAAAGTTAAATTCCTGTCTCCGACAGTTAAATAACTGCCGAAGACAGTAATTTAGCAGCCATGACAGTAATATTAATTAAAATATTTTTTTTAATAAAAAACAAAATTATATAAAAAAAAAGTCAACGCCGGAGACGGTCAACTGGAAAAAAAATCTGGGAAAGAAAAGTTTTTCAAAAAAAAAAATAAAAAAAAAAGTCAACGCCGGTCAACGGCGGCGACCGGCGGTCTCCGGTGGTGGCGGGTCAAAATTGGAGTCAAAATCGAAATTAGGCTTAAAATTGGTTCATTGATGAAATTTGGCTAAATTGGGGTGTAAATCAAGAAATTGAAGTTGAATTGAGTTTCAATGAATTGTGAGTAATTTTGGTATATATAAAAGGATTTTCCTTATTTGCAAATAAGTTTGAATGGACTGAATTTATTTAAAAGCCAAAAAAGTTGGATGTCCCTCTTTTAATTAAGTGCCCTTGTCATGGTTGTTTGCCATTAAACCTATTGACATTATCAACACAGTTAGGTTTAGCCATGAATTATTACACGGAGAGTAGGGAAGAAGTTTGACTATGATTTTGATTTGTATTAAGGGATGACGAATTCAACAAGGGGAAAATAACCAATTAAATAGAGTGAAATCTTGATAAATTAATATTAAATAAACTAGTAATATCGTTTAAATAATAATTTCTTCAGATATCGATTAGATAAAAGATATATATTAGCTCGATGATTTAATAGTTTGCTAGATTAATAAAATTTTACGAATCTTAACTATATTTTAATTTATAGATGTTTAACTGTATAATATAGCGCTATACGTCACTTAGAATCCAAAAGTCGTAGTTTGTTATTTTCAACATTCAAGACCTAAGTTTAACATGATGGATAAGTATATGAATTTGCGAGGAAATTGGTTGTGTTGTAGAAGTTTGGCGGTGGTTTGTGTAATGGGGCGGCGCCGGCGACTCAAATTAATTGTGCGAGCTGTGTTGTGGCCTGTGGGGGCCGGGTCACGAATTTATTTTCTTTTTTTTAAATCTAAATTTTAGAATGAAAAGTAGTATATAACAATCAGTTGTATATGATAAACCATTGATGTATAAATCACAAATGAATGATATATTCAACTTTCAACAGTCCAAAATTAACCATTTGATTAATATACATAAGATAGCTAGATCAGTTTAATCACTAATTTGAACTAGAACTAATTTCTTCTTTAATGGGCTCGACGACTAACTCTACATTTTAGGCCCAAACAGTTGTTAATGCCCAATAGATGAGTTACAAAGGGCCTATGAATTTTGAAAGAAGAAAAAAGGTAAATTTTAAAGTAAGCTGGCCCAAAAAATTGATCCTCTAATTTTAATTTTTTTTTTTTTTTTTTTTTTTTTGTGATTAAGATCGTCTATTAACAATGAACAAAATTATGATAATTGGCAATGAAATTTGAAAAAAATGGTGAAAATTGATTTTTTTTTTAAATATGAAACATTTGCTCAAGAGACTTTGAAACCATGGTCGTAAACTTCTAGAAACCACGGCGATATCCAACAATTTATAGGGTTAAATATTCAGCCGCAAAGCACACATACACGTGAGTATATGTATGAGTGATTTTGTGCAGATCAACGGTTAAAAATCACCTAGTGTATTTTATCAGGTATAGAATCTAATTAATCAGTTGGAATTATTTATTTTGACGTGCAGTGATGTATGCAAAGTTGCAAACCCTCGGCCATACGTCAAAGTAAACCCTAATTCTAAAACTTGTTGGATAAGCTTTGCGATGCGTAGCTTCTATGGGAAGCTTATAATAGTAGTACACACATGCATGAAGTTGACAGCTAATTAATTATATTTAATTAAATTAAAGATACGAAAGAAAAACATATATGTATTTAATGTCGGCTATGTCAATTTTATATTGGCCGTGAGAAAGAAGTAGTGATTTTCTACTCTTCATCTCTTCCTTTTATTTGCTAAGCACAATCGCCATATTTAACCCTACCCAGTCAACTAATTAATTAACCCCATAATTAATATAATTTTATTTTGACTTTTCAACAACTGGTCTTACTACCAATCCATGCACATCTATATATACACAGTTTCTTGGTCAAATAAGGCCAAAGAAGAGATCATAGTGTTTATATATATATATATATATATATATATATATATATATATATATATATATATATATAAGCAACTGTACTCAAATGGTAATAAATGTTTGGTAGCTTAAACTCATGAATATTGGGATTCATGTGTGTGTGTGTAAAGTGTGTGAAAGAGAGTTGCAAACAAACGAGATCATAAGAAATTACGTATATGTATGTATATATATATATATATATACCAATTGCTTGGAAGGAGAAGTATACGCGAAGACAAAAACAAAAACAGTAAAATTAAAGAAAACTATATGTATAGCAGCAGGGTTTGGTTTAATTTACAGTGTTTGTTACTTTCATGTTATATTATTTGTTCTGTAAGTATATATCATATTTGTGTATATATATTTCTGTGTGTGTGTGTGTGTTTTTGAATAAGCTAATTAAATAGAACCTTTAGGTAGAGAGTAGACACTATATAGGTAAAACGTCTGTTAAAGAATCAGGTGTTGTCCCCATATCCACTCTTGCTACCTACCCCTTGATATATATATATATATATATATATATATATATATATATATATATATATATATATATATATATATATTTCTTCTTGCATGATTTAATCTAATTAATTAGATGATGATCATTTAGTTAATTAGGATTAAGATACGTTGAGCCATCTTATCGGAGAAGTGCTGATTTTTTAAGTTATGTACTGCATGCACTAATCTTTTTAATACTTAATAGTCATGCATATCAAATAATATTAGTGAAAAAAGGTTGGGGTATTAAAGTAATTCTTGTACATGAAAGTGGTTGTGTGTAGAATACACATACACATAAGGAAAACCATACTTGACGTCCAAGCAACCCTAATTCTTTTTTTCACACCTCAACATGCACTAATCTTCATTTCCATTATATTCATTCTCTCTTGTTATTCTTCTCTCTAAAAGCTCTCAATATATATAATCAAGAAAATTCTCTCTCTCTCTCTCTCTCTCTAGTTATTACAACAGTACGGAAGAATATTAACACTACTGCAGTTCCTTGTCCAAACATCAAAGAACAAAGATCATTTGGTGAGCTAAAAAGGTGTTTCGGTTAAACACTTGGAACAGAAAATCATGCTTTTCCCTCTCTTCTAATTTATCTTTTTGTCCCCTTGTTTTTTTTCGTAATTAATTTGTTTCTTACGTATCAGTGAATATCTAGGGTTGTTCAGAATCGAAGAGGCCCCATTAATTTAATTGGGATGCGAATAAGAGCATCATCAGTACTATAGAATATGACCATGAATGATAATAGTAGAGAAGAAGAAGAAGATATGTTATCCCTCCAAATCGTCTCCAAAGAAAACTGCCGTATCGGTCAACAGCATAATACGTCCTCGTCTTCGTCGTCTATAATTTGCCCTTCATGTGGCAAAACCGTAATACTCCATGATCATAATCAGGTGCATGCATATGTATTCAATTTTCTTCTTCCATTTTCATTTTTTATTGGGCATCAATATATAATGGATTTAATTATATTTATCTTTCTTTTTTATTATTAAAGACGGGGCTTCAAGATTTGCCGGGACTACCGGCTGGAGTGAAGTTCGATCCATCGGATCAAGAAATTCTTCAACACTTGGAGGCAAAAGTTCTGTGTGATGCAGAGAAGCTGCATCCTCTTATTGATAAATTTATCCCAACAATTGAGGGTGATAATGGTATTTGCTATACTCATCCAGAAAAGTTACCAGGTATATAATATTATTATATTCAAGTTAATTAGGTGGTTTATTTTTTAGTCCAATGTAAAAGATCATGATAACGGATTGGAATGTGCTTTCGATTTCGTACAAGCATAACCTAACTATATTTAGTTAAAAAATCATGTTTAATTAACCTTTTACTTTTCTTTAAACATATATATATATATATATATATATATATAGGAGTAAACAAGGAGGGGCAAGTGCGTCATTTCTTCCACAGGCCCTCAAAAGCCTATACAACCGGGACGAGAAAACGGAGAAAAGTGCACGCAGAAGCAGACGGAAGCGAAACAAGGTGGCACAAGACAGGCAAAACAAGACCTGTTTCGACACATTGTAACAATATCAGAGGCTATAAAAAAATACTTGTTCTCTACACAAACTACGGTAGACAAAGAAAACCCGAAAAGACAAATTGGGTTATGCACCAATACCACTTAGGTGATAACGAAGAGGAGAAAGAAGGCGAACTGGTGGTCTCCAAAGTTTTCTACCAAACACAGCCTAGGCAATGTGGATCATCAAACATCGTTAAAGAGGCAATTATTGACCGAAGCTGTTTCGAAAAAACCGCAGGTTTTGTGGGATACTATAATAATAACAATAATCCATCCTTTATCTCTTACAACGAAGAGGGGCAAAACACCAACAAAGACAGGGCATCTACGATGATTCCGAATTTGGTTGATGGATCATCTTTTATTCATTTGCCTTCAAATGCAAGCAAAGGTAAATAAGCCATATATACATACATCATTATTTATTTTATTGATATAGGCAAAAACGATGTCGTACTAGGTTAACAGTGATTTATTCGTGTTCGTGAAAATAAAACAAAAGACTGAGGAAAATGTAATGCAATAAATGGTATAGTAGTTAAAATTTTCGTTGGTAGTTATTTAATAATTAAGTCTTTACTAATTTATACTTTTTACTGATCAATCCAAAGTCCAAAAATGCAATTCAATCTAAGTCCCACAAAATGGTAACAGTGTTAAATGCAATTCAATCATCACCACAAAAAGATCATAATACATAACCCATAAATAAAAGAAAAACAAATCCTAAGCCCCAACAAACAACTAGCATCCTCTGTAATACACCTACTACTATCAAGCCGAATAAAAGCAACTTCCAAACTTACTTCACCTCACTCAACCCTAATAACGAAAATATTAAGCTCAACTTCTCCCAGACCAATATTCCAAGTTTCAACGTCAACGCTAACTGAAAGGCGTTTAAGAAAATTTTCTACCCGATCAAGAGAACACTTTACACGGTCTAGGGAATACGCTTTTAAATACAAACACATAAGTTATCCTCATTTCTTGAGAATGCATCTCTCATACAGAGCTAGAATGTCCTTTTTGTTGGGATTCCTCAACTGCAACAGCTCAGCGCCGAAATTATGATTGGTTAGCTCCTGCTTCAGTTTCTGTACCGTAAATCGAGCATAGTCCTCCGTATTAGTCTGCTGGCTATTGGTGGTTTGCTCGTCACCTCTAAAAATTGAACCACCATCTTCAGGGGAGCTGATCTTCATAGGGCTGGTTGTACTCTTTGACCTTTTGTTTCCTCTGGGTACTCTGTCACTATTTATGCCAGTGTCGTGCACTGAATCAATACCCATTTCATAGTCATCTGTTCTACCACGTTTGGCAGTGGAAGCACTTCTTAGTTTACTGTCTAAATTCGTTTTGTCGCCATATCGAAGGGCGTTCAGTTCTTGAGAAAGGTCGTCAAGCTTTTTCTGAGTGACCAGTAGCTGAACCGAGAGGGACTCGGCCCTAGTACTAGCTTCTGCGTGGGCCGCACGTTCACTGTCCAATAACTTCTCGAGTACCTGAACCGTATCTTTCCTCTGGCTGTTGTTGGACTGGAAAAACGAGTCAATTTCTTTTTCTCTTTCTTTCACTTGCGCCTCCAAAATTTCCACCTTAGACAAGGCATCCCTTTCGACTATTTTGTACCTCTCCACTTCATTAGCTAAATCAGCTTTTTCCCTCTCCAAAGTTTCGGATTGCCTCACGGCTCTCTCAATTTGTGCTAATCTTTCCATTGCCACACGCTGAAACTCGTTTTTTTCCTTTTGGGCAGAGACTGCTTCTGATCTGGCTGCATCGGCCAATTCGGTTGCTCTTTTAGCCTCTTTCTCGGCTGCTTTATACCTTTCCTGGATTTCCTCAAATCTGTTGAACTGAGATTGGTACTTCTGCTCCAGATGTATCTTCTCTTGTTCCAGGATTCTTGCTTTGCTCTCAGCAGAAAGAGCCGTAGAATGTGCTTTTTCTACCTTCTCACCTAACTCCTTAATTTCTAGTTTTAATTTTGATGTCTCCAGATCATAGTTCTTGACCTTTGATTCAGCAGCCTGCATACAGAAACAAAACAAACCAGTAAAGATATACATCAAATGAAACACTGATAAATATGCATACAAGAAAATGGTCTGCTATTTTTATCCTTATTAACACCATTCTTGAACAAATATCCCAACTTTAGAATGTACTCCTGTAACATTTCAGTATGATGTTTTCACAGTTCAACTTATCATTAATCATTAACGTTCTGCAAGCTTCTCTACGGGAATCTTAACACCGTCGTATGACTGCCCCAAAAGTGTCAATTTTATTATCTATCAATTAATACAAACGAAATCAACTGATGAAATTGGAGTAGCTGAGAGAACTAGGTCCCTGAGCAACGGAAAAGCTATAGTAGGCTGGCAAATTTGCACAAAGCAGTAGCACATAGATAAGATAATGGTGTTGTTACACAATTGTGATTACTTTTTGCCCAAATCTCACCTTCAATTCTACACGCAAAGTTGTCACACGCTGTTCAGCTTGCTCAATTATCGAGGCCTTTTCCTTTATTTCATCCTCCTGCAGCATCATACACGTAGTACAGTAAATTAACTCATCGTACATTCAAATAGTCAATGGAGTCTATGTAAACTATTTGTAGGGATATATATATATATATATATGATTTGAGCAAGCAACGAGAGAGAGATTTGCACCTTTTCTGCAAGAGTGCTAGAGAATTCTTCTCTTAGAGCAGCTTCTTTTGATTGTGTTTGATAATTTGAGCGCTCTTGGATTGCAGCAGCCTTCTCGAGAGCATTTTTTGCTTCTCTGACAGCAATGTCATATTTACGCTTCCACTCCTCCGCCTCTTCACGAGCAGATTGAGCTTTCTCCTGAGCTGCTGCTAGTCTTGCTTCAGCAGCGGAACTCTTGGATTTGAGTATCGCCACTTCTTCACTCGACTGCTCTTCCACAGCCTTCTGCCTTGAAAAAAGCAACTCATATTTCCTTTTCCAATCCGCAGACTCCTGCTTTGCAGTATCAAGTGTTTTTGACAAGTTGGAGGATTTTTCTTCCAAAGAAGTACATTTTTTCTGCAAATTGGATATACGACCCATATGTTCCTCTGCAAGCTTCGTCTTGTCATTAATAGCATCTTCATATCGCTTCAAATACTCGGATTTATACTTCTCACTCACTTCCAGTTGTTTGTTAAGAAAACCCATCTTGTCTTCGATCGACCGACATTTCAGAGCAAGAGTACTCTTTTCAGTTCCAATCTGGTCTATTTGTTTCTTGATGAAATCGAGGAGGGGACCTTCCAAACTGGGAACACCAGATACCATTAAATACAAATCCTGGGAGCAAATATACATAAGATAAATGGTCAGTAACCACATACATACCTTTGCCGTAGGAAGGAAACTGCTTTTCGCCACTTCTCAGGTCCATGACACGTAGCTTCATAGTTGGACAAGAGCCCATCAAGAACCTGCAAGAGTGTAAGAATGTCACTTTTCCAGGGAAGTCCTAATCCAAGGAAAAAAAAACACTGACGTCTCCACAAAATATTACTTAGCAAACTTAGAATGAGATCAAGTTTTCAGAAGCAGAACATCTTCAACAACTGAGACTTGCCTTTAGAACAGTGTCTATTTTTGCATCAGGAGCATGACAAGCCATTCTCAGCTCCTTCTCCATATTTTCTATTGTATTTGTACATTGCAGATAGGCCTCCCTAAAAGAATCCTTTTTAATATCCTGCAATCAACATCCAAACGTACATCAATAGCTGTAAAAGAGAAAAGGGAAAAAGTATCCATTAAGATGATTTTTTTACTGCATTTCTATGAAGCAAAATTTTAAAGTTTTATTAATTCTACATCTTCACAACTTGGGATATGATCAAGCTGCAACTGAATAGGATGTGAATAGAGCATGTGAATTCTCTTTTTTCTATTGACAGACAATGAGGTCTTCCAAACCCTCTTATAAGTTTCAATATCAGAGGAATGCATGATGGATAAGACGGTTTGGTAAAAAACAAACTCCAAATACTTTATTTTGTTGGAGAGTGGGGAGAACAAAAGCAATTCGGCAAAATAAGAAATATAAGATTAATAGAAATGTCTCCCCACAATATGTGGTAGGCTAAATAGTAAACTATCTACCAATAAATGAAGATTTTGAGGAAACAATTACCTCAAATGCCTTTTTCATGAAATCCTGAAGGCGCTTTTCATACTTTTGTCTGATTAAACCAGCACCTACAGCATTAGCATTAAATGTGGCCATCGACTTCCGGACCGCATCTTCATTTTCCTCTCTTAGGGCAGCCTACAAGATCCCCAAATTTAGCAAAAAAATCAAAATATGTCAACACCTACAACAGATGCAGGAACTTACTTCCTCTGGAGGTTTTGAACGGTCAAAAGAAGCCATGTAAACTTCAGCACCCAATTCATATGCTTTCTGACATTCAGCTTCCTCAACACTCTGAAACAAAAAAAAAAAGATGAGGACGAAAAATTATTTGAGATTGAGGCATATATTCAGATGAGTAAATTTCCTATGGTATCACCAGACTGACATCATGACCTCACCTCGTGGCATTAAGCAGACAAGAGGTGGGGGGATAATTAAAATTCATTCCTAGGTTTCGAAGCAAAAGGAGGTGATTCTTTTTAATATATATCATTCAACAAATTTTCTGGTTATTCTGTTTTGGATAGTAGAGCATTATTAATAACTATCGGAGAGCTCGTAAGAAGGACGGCTTTCGACGCAAATTAAAAAAAGTGAAGCAGAAGAAGCCAATATGCGTCGAGCCATAGACATATATATATAAGGCATGCTAACCTGCCATGAAGATGTTATTGTAGGCACTGCCCCATTATTAAGAGCATCTAGAAACGATTGAGTAATACGAGCAAGAATGGGTCCTGTCATCACTGTTGCTCCCATTTGCTTCGGCCTTGTCCTCTCAAAGACGAATCTTGTCAAAGAATCCAAACCAGATTTAAATTCTGGCCTTAATTTGTCTGGCTGCATGTTAATTATTAATCATGATAAGCCAAGAAGCGGTGATAACAAAAATGACAACACAAAGTAGCATAAAAATATATTTAAATGTTTGAAGCAACAACTGACATTAATCTGATCAAGTCGTTGAAGATCGTTCTCGTTGCTCAAGGGCCTCACAAGTGTGTAGCATTCTCTATCTGGAAAAAGTGCTCGAATGGACTCCCGAATCTAGTCAACATTTTCAATCAGCAAAGTATCAATAAACGTTTAATTCAATCAAAGAACAGTATGGATCAACTCCAATACCGCTAATAATACATTAATATAGATTCCCTAATGAGAAAGGAAAAGAAACAAACAAAACCTCATTTTTTGCAGCTACATCCCTACCGCCTCCCTGAACAGGTCTCAAAGCAAGCTCTAGGTAGTCACGCGGTGTAATTTTGCGATTGTCCTCCACTAAATCTAGATAAAAGTCCTGCAAGTACGCATTTTACAATTAGTTTGTTTGATCCAAGAAGACACGCAGATTGTATTCCAAATAGTTGATGTTTTCTACTCCAAGCAAAAACAGAATTGTACACCAGCAGGAACATTAGCATAGTATGAATATTAATTACCCTCAGAAGCCACACAAAGATTGGGGAGAACTGCCCGAGCTCCGAAGCTGTACTCCTACCACCAGAAGCTCTTACACGAATATGCTTGGTCATCTCGGTCACAAGGGAGAGGCGATCTAGCGCAGCCTCGTCAATACCACCCATCTAAACCAAATATCAAGGAACTGGTTAACTATTTCTTTTCGTATCAACTATAATATAACAATACCATAAGAAATGCCATAACACTAACATCACTAACTTGACCAGGGGATCACCAGAAGAAAAGAAAAAAAAAAAAGAGACGGTCACAGCTTATGACAAGAAACATCAACATTTACAACTACTTGACATTAAATGGAAGTTTTTGAGATTTTTGTACCTGGTTGTATACAAACATGCTTGATAAAAGAACCGCCAATGAGAATATCTGTGTGCTGTATGTTCCCTGTCAAATAGTTTATAAAATAAAATAAGTGAGAATAAGAAACAAAAATTGCAAAAGGATATCATACATGGAGGATGGAACATTGGTGTCAGATGATGAACTAAATGTAAACATTATTATGAGTGCATGAGTTACAAATGACCGAGAAAGGAAGCGAGAATAAGGTAGAGCGCCTATTCACCAAATAAAGGATGGTAACTGTCATATTAACTAGGAATACAAGAAAAGAACCTCACCGTTTGGTCATAAGCATCAATTCCTTCTGAGTCCAACAGTAAGAGACTGTACTCTGTTCCATCAAGTGCAGTTCTACTTATTGGGGTACTCCACAACCAAAGACCTTTGGTACAGGGACGATGCGTTGAGGCCACCTGAAATCCACTGCTCCTTCCAAGAAGCTGCAAATATATATATTTAGAACTCTGATATGGGATATTTAAAATAGCTCCAAATAAAAATTTCAAATGTTTCTCACTAAATGTCTGTTTTGATGCAAAAGGCAACAATTTCTTCAATTAATGTATATCTAAAAGGTGCTGAAACAAAAACATTTGAGTCGCGAGCTTATTTCTCATCGTAGTATACAAAAAGTAGAAATGGACCAATAAGTGTTAAAGAACCTACTCTGAGCAAGAAACAAGTTAGCACAAAAGAATCAAGAAATGAAGCACAATTTGATAGAGTGCTTAATCCTTGAATAGAGTGCTCGGTAGGAACCTTAAGCTAAAGATATCATTGGCTTCTGCTGTTTTTAACAAGTTATCAAGACCAACATTTGATAAAGGAAATTCATCATCTAAAGAGCCAAGCTAAAATGTAGCAATCAAGGAACATATAAGAGTGATTTGCTGTACTAGTTAAATTTGCGATGATTAAAAGAGAAAGGAAAAAAAGAAGATTGCACATGACAATTTTTAATTGACTCAGTATAGCTTCCATTAAACAATGTATAAAGAATACGACTCCATTGTCAGCAGTCTATCTAACATCCTGATTTTGCATTAATCCATGAGGTCCACAAAAATGTTAACCACATATAAAAAATTCTATATCCAATTCAAAGGCTAATTAAAAACTTCGGAAATCGAAGTAGCAAGTTCTTGACTTATTTGTAACAGCTCTTGTTATTTCTTTAACCATAAGACTTCACCACTCCACCCCCACCAAAAGAAAAAGATCCCACTCTTACTCACTGTTTTGTGGCCGAAAGCGCCCAAAGTTCGCCACTCACCAGGTATTAAGCCAAAACCCTAATTTCGTTCGAAAACTAATGCACAAACGAAGCTAGTCGAGTACATACAGATTATTGAAGAAGTCAATCGAAAATCATTATCGCTCACACAATTGTATAGTATAACCGAAACCCTAGAAGACCAAATTCACTAACAAAAAAAAATCCAACTTATTTTCACAAATATACCTGATTTAATATATAGCTCTTCCCTTGACGAGCGCGACCGCACACGGAAACCACACCGACCGGCTGCTTCACCAACTGAAGCAGCGCCACCGCCTCGGGATCCATATGAAACTTCCCCTTCTCGTCGGAATACACCAGGCGTATGGGGCGTGCCGGCCCCGCTGACATATTGGGCGAAGGCGCCGGAAGTGGAGTCGACGGAGGCGCCGTCTGCGGAGAGCCTTCGGCGGAGCCCCTGCCGAAAAGTCTCATCATATTTACAGAGGTTTTGCTCTTAATTTCTCGATTTTCTTTTTCAGGGAGAGAAAAGATCAAAGGTTTGTAGAGAGAGAGTGCTATCTTTTTTAAATAGGGGAGAGGGAAAAGAAAGGAAAGAAAATAATAATAATTAAAATAGGCTTTTTTTTGGTGACAGAGGTGAAATTTTAGATGGAAGTAGGGAAATTACGATTTTGTACATGTAAAGATTGATGAAAGAAGGGTATCTATGGAAATTATTGACAGCTTGGCTCCGAAGTAACTATAGAGCCTCCCGTTGTGTTTACTATGGGCTTTCCAAATTTAAATGCTATAACCTCAATAATATACGATGAGTGTAGATTTAAGGTAATAATTTTTAATAATTCTTTGATTTTTAATATTTATTATTCTAATATAAAAATTTGACTTGAAATAAACTATGTAGTCAATAATAAAGATATACATAATTAAATTAATATGGTTTAGGCCCATAATTAAGCTTCAATGCCTTTGCTAATTAATTATTCCTTGATCTTAAATAGGGCTTACCGTTATTGGGCTTAAGGGCCCATGTAATGAAATTGGGCCTCAGCACATCAATGAGATATTAATATTTAAAATTCAAAATAATCTTGGTGAATCTTAAGTATTAGTATTATTTTACTAATCACATTTCTTAAGTTCATTTAGAGTTTTTCTTTGGTAACTCAAACATCAGCAGCGTTTTCGCCGGACGACGCATCGACACAATCCACGCATAATTTAGAAGAGTATTACGAGCATTATTATTAAAGATTATTCTACGTGTGTCGAGTGAATCAAATTCTTAACCAAATCATAACCAGAATATTAGAAAGAAAAATCATGCTAAATAAAAAGCATTTCTCGATATATAAATTATGCGATAGTCTATCACTAAGTATGATTAAAGAACAAATAAACAATTGAACGTGGAGATTAATGAGTTGAAGGCTGAACAACTAAATAAAATCCACTTGTTATATATTATATAATGACAGCTTGAAACAGTACTGTGAAGTTGTATTAAGGGGAAGAACTTAAAAACTTTGCATAAGTACATGTATTAAGGGGAAGAACTAATTATACTAATGTCGATTAACTTAGATAAAATGTGTCATGTTTGATGATATGTTGCCAAATACATCTAACCCCATAATCGAAATATAGAAATTCAACTCTAATTAAAAGTCTATGCGGTGGGACCCACTATCTAACCAATCGTCGACGTCGAGACGACATGGTTTTGTTCGTATGCTCCGTCGTTTTGCATGTATTACAGTGATTTGATTTTACTATAGGGTCCTCAACTTCTAATCCATTGAATTGATATTTTCTCAATAAAACATGGAAATAAATTTAAAAAAAAAAATGTAAGATGATGAACTAAATTCAAATTCAAAACCTAGACTTTGAGATATAAGAAAAAAAATGGCGATTGACCAATGACAGTCGCGGGTTCATTTATTGTCGGCGCGACGATTCTAGTAGTTCATCGGCTTTAATTAAAATCACTGTTTTCATTAATTGCATGACTAATTGTATAATTAGTGGCGTACTAATTATCCTTTGAAGTTTGAATTTATTTATTTATTAATTATATATTTTATTTTTCTTCGAAAAATTGTCATAAGTACGTAGGCCAATCCCACTTGATGAACTTGTTCATGTACGATAATGACATGACACCAAGATTTCTTTCTCAAGTCGTCATTGCATTTAATACATATAGCCCCATATATAAATAGAGTAAATTGCAAATACCACCCCTGTGAAATCTCTAATTATCAAATAACCCCCTATCAAAAAAAAATTCGCTCATACCCCCCTATGTAATATTTTTCGAAGCTCACAGCACCTATTAGCATTTTAATGGTTGACTGAAGGTAAAAAGACAAGTATACCCCTAAGTGGTATAACATCAAATTATAATAATTTATGAGGCCAAATTGGAATTTTGTTAAACTTCTAAAACTTAAATTGGGGGACTAAATTGCAATTTTCCCAAATTCATCTCCCAATTTTCTGCAATTTTTCCCAGCGGCAGCCTAATTCCTCACCTTCCTCTCAATTTCCGTCGCCGCCCACCACGCATCTCTTCATTAATATGCTCCTAGTAGTTCACGGGTAAAAACAACCGCCCACATCAGAAGAAAAAGGCAGAAGTCTGGGGCACCTGCTAACGGATCCCGTTGAAATTTACGAATGGAGTTCGGTCTAACGCAAGCCAATGAGTTATTCTTTTGCAGTAGCAGTCCCTTGCCCAGCTGGGTCGAGGTACCATGCCTTCTCCTTGACAGATGGAGATAGCTTCGAATAATGAGGGAGAAGGGGCTTGGGGACATTTTTGACATTTCACAATTGAAAATTAAGAAAATATCGCAGCACCAGCGCGTGAGAGACACGATTTGCTCTCAGGGGCCTCAATGCCTTGACTTTGTTTTCACAGGGGGGTATGCGTGAATTATTTTTTGACAGGGGGGTATTTGACAATTAGAGATTTCACAGGGGTGGTATTTGCAATTTACTCTATATAAATATCACAATATCAAATTCCAAAATAATAATAATAATAATTAGGCCAAAAATGGAAGAATTATTCCAATACACGGAAACCCAGAAACACCAAACAATTACAAAATCACGCAAGAAAAGGCTGACTGAAAACCAGGTGAGGCTATTGGAATCCAATTTCAGCTCCAACAACAAGCTCGAACCGGACCGGAAATGCCAGCTGGCAGCGGAGCTGGGGGTCCCACCTAGACAGGTGTCGATTTGGTACCAGAATAAGCGTGCTCGCGACAAGGCTCAGAGCCTCGAGATCGACCACGGGAATTTGCAGCTTCGGCTTGAAAGCGTGCTGGCTGATAATGCGAGACTTAAGGGACAGGTGGCAATGCTTAAAGACGAGTTGAACAGAATCCAAAGCGCTTTCGTCACTCCTTTCAATAATATTGATGTTGTTGATCATAAACACGATTTAGAGGGGTGGTTGATTAACGATTCTTTGGTCGGTGGTGGAGCTCCGTTTGTTGCACCGCCGGGTATGGATATGGTTTCTGATTTGGTTAGGCGATGACTCGATCGATTCACATTATATTGTTTATGGTTGCCCTTAATTAATTAGCATGCATGTGCTAATGGTGTTTTAATTAATTTTTAGTTACTAGTATATTTATAAGAAAATTAAATAATTTGCAAGATGTGTGGAAAAACTTGTGTGAATATTAGCTAATTTTTTTGAATTGCATGCAAAACAAGATGTGTATTTCTTTTAACAATTTAAGTTGTGAGATAGTTTTTTCATTTCATATTTTTTTTGTTTTTTGTCTCTTATTTTTATTTCATTTTAGTCTTTCTAGTATTCAAATATTTGCCATCCTGTGATTTGAGGCAAGGTCGTAAAAAGCGGAATCGAGTGGGAGGTGGTTAGGCGCCGCCTTATGGTAGTGATTAATCGGTTACAAATCGAAAATAAAACATTTTTTTGAAAAATTGAATGCAATATATTTCTAGATATGTTATTTGTTAATACTCAAAATATTATATATAAAAATATTTACATATACTTCTACCCATATCATTTATATATTTAGGATTTAAAAAAAAAAAAAAAACCTAAGATTTGAAAATCGATTTTTGTCACCAAAGTTTAACATGATCCAACATTTGACTGCCTCACATGCCAAAATTCATTTTTTCAAACATTTACACATAAAATCGTAACAGGGCCGCCTCCATCTTGACGACCGAGTAATCAGCCGCATTAGACGATTGTGAGAACACTCCAAGTAAAGTAAGAAGGTCGAATTTATTTGGGTTTAATATGTTGTAAGGAAGTTATAAGATTATCTTTTTTTTTTAATAACGAACAAGATTTCAGATTTATATAAAATTGATGTTTGTTTTATACAAAGCCCATTAAAACATTACTAGGATGATGGATTTGGGCTAATCTTTTGAAAACATCTTATAATTAGTATGGACCAATCCGTTATTAGCCCAAGTTTGCAATTTAATTAATTCCCTAAGATGGGGAGTGGGGACCAATCGGGTTGATGCTGACGTCAGCGTCTTCGTCATCATAATCAACTGCGTCCATCTAGTTGTAAAGACGACAAAAAAAGGTGTTTAGGGGATGTTTGGCATTAGAGAATTATGAAAACGAAAATAAATTTGTTTTAGAAAAAAAAGGTGTAAACACGCGTTTGTGGATTTTTTAGGCGTTAAATGCTTGCTCTATTATAATAATCCTTCGCCATGATTGAGGATTTGTTCGACCCTACACCCGGTGATAAACACTGGGTGGGTCTTCTGCTGACACGTGTTTCTTTTTTGTATTTTATAATACATTCCTGCTAGGGTTTACCTTTAAGGATTTTAGAAAAATAAAATAAGGGACATGTGGCAGCAGAAGACTCACCATGTGTTTTTCACCGGGTGTAGGGTCGAATGAACCGTTGATTGAGATATTTTGTTAATACTTATGTTAGGCGTGTTGAGTGGTGACTTTTGATCAGTAATTTCACCGTTTCATTCAAAATACAGACACCAATATTTTCGATTTACCTTCACCGGAAAATTCTATATCTACTTCTACTCACTACTGAATTTACTCACCAAGTGTACATAGCTAAACAGCTGTAAGAGAACTCCCTCAATCACTCGTCAGTGAGAATTTTTCATAAATAAACTTTTGAGGATTTCAGTATTTACAAATTACAACACAAATTGTCATTGAGAATTGGATTTCTCTCTCTCTCTCTCTATATATATATATTTTTTAATTGCATCAATAAAACCTTTAACACGTTTCAATTACCAAAATATCTTACATTGGATATGAGGAGATAGTCAAGTTGCCATTGAGATATATACAATATAATGTGTCTTCAAGGGGCAAATTTAGGTTTACCTCAAGTTCTGAGATACACAAGTCACCACGAGATCCATATATATATATATATATATATATATATATATATATAATAATAATAATAATAATAATAATAATAATATAATACATATATACTTGACCAATTCAAGAACCATTTTTTTTTTTCCTTTCGATACATGATTATTATTTCAAGTGGAGCAATAATTGCAGACAAAGAGGGTATATATTATCGATGATATATTGTCCTAGATTTGACGAAGACAATGATAATAAATAATTAGGTAAGGATGAATTTTTTTTTTAATTATTATAATCCTTTTCTTTTGCAAGAAAATTTGAAGCCAATCAAAAACCGAACCCTGATTAAACGAAATTGTGCTATCTTACTTAAACAATCGAAAATAAGAACGATAAAATTAACAATAAAATAAAATCAGCATTCGTCTATCAAAAATCTTTTGGGACCCTGCGGGCGAGGGGTATCGTTTTTGTGCAAGAAAAGAAGATCAATAATTAATATAATATATATTTATGTACAAATATTAAACCCAATATATAATTTTTTTTGCATCAACCGGACATGATTTCTCAAACTACTATTGTTCTATCTTCAAACTTGAAATAAAACTTTTTTTTATTTATCTTATAGTCCAAAAATGAAAAGTTAAAATCATTCTACTCCCATCAATATATAGTTGACTAGGTCAAAGCCACAAAGCTCTGGCTTCTCTCAACCTCGGCACCAGTTCGCCGGAAATATGAGCGCCCATGATTTCCTCCAGCCCTCCAAACAGTTCTCCGCCCATAAACACCGCCGGAAACTGCGGCACCGCGGCGGAGTTTCCAGAATTAGCGCCATCCACGCCGCCGCCGCCGAGGATCCTGGACAAATCGTTTTTTATACCAGCTTCGTTCTGCTCGTCAATGTCAACGATCGTAGGGTTGACGCCGTGGCCATGCAGCAGAAGCTTCACCACGTGGCACATGCAGCACCCCTTCCTGGCGAACACCACCACCGAATTCTCCGCCACCAGTTCTCTCACCGTACTGTTGCTGTTTTCCGGCGGAGGAGCTGCCGATCCACCGGCGGTGGGGAGACGATCTGATCTGTATGGAATCGCTTCTTGCATGACTGATTATTAGTAATTTCGTGTGGAGAGAGAGAGAGAGAGGAAAGGGGAGGGGAAATTGTGGGAGCAAAAGAAGAATTATATATAAGTAGGAGGGGGCCGGTGAGCAAATAAATTTCGTTAGATTATTAATATTAATAATATTATAATGAATGATAAATTGATAATGACATTTATTGGAATATAATACGTGTGATCGGTAGTAAACTATCTAACGTGCGTCAACAGCGGTTACGTAATATTTGACGTCACCGTTACTGTTTGGGGCGTATTTGTACGTCAAATTTGAAGCAATAGGCGTGTAATAGTTGAATCAATCAACTACTAGCTAGTATAAAAAAAAATATTAATAAAAATAAATAAATAAATAAAACGCAGTTATTTGTCTAGAAATTGCCAGCGGGGCAGACAGGCAAAACGGGGCAATTTCCGAGCAGCGACGCCCGTTTATGATGACGGCTCTTCAATCTGGTCAACTGGTCGTTACTCGTTAATTGTTTGATTAATTTATAATTAGTGATGTATGTAATAAGATTCACTTATTTTTATGGATGTAATTTCCATTTTGCCAGGAGAGTGTGATGTGGAACCAAATCAGTACCTATTTTTCTATTGTATTGGAGGAATATATATATATATATATACTCCTATCATATTGTCCTTAACGTTATTGGTGTGGTATACCCACGTTTTAATTCGTGCTTAACCCCATAATTAGGGCCTTCCACTTATAAGATACTTTTTGGTACAATTATTTGCACATATTTATTAATATTTAAACTCATGAAAATAAACCTCCCTCTTACATATTGCATTTATTTCTTGCACATGGCCAAATATATTTTGTGGAAGACAACTAACAATTTTAAATTTTTTTAGTATATGATGATATATAGCACCCTTCTCTACAATGTTATCAGAACCGAACCGGACACAAAACCGGCTAGGCATTTGGGTCACGGTTGGACCGGTTCAACCGGGGTCAACCCGGGTTTTTTAATTTTTAATTATTTTATTAGTTTTATTAATTTTAATACTTCAAAAATACTATTTTTTTGTGTTTTAATGTTTTTATGTATTAAACCCATTTTTTATTTTAATTTACTATACTCCTTAAATATTTTATTTCTTATTAATTTAATTTTTTTCCACTTTTACTTTCTTTTTCCTAATCCACGACTTTCTTTCCCCCTTCCCCTAACACCTTCATCTTCGACTTCAAGCAGCAACAGTAGGCCTCTTTCTATCTCTCTCTCTCTCTCTCTCTTCTTCCTCTTAATCTCTCACTCTCTTTGAATCTGCATATTCTTCTCTCTTTTTCTCATTTTTTTCCCTCTCCACTTCCGGCCTCCCACCACCTATCCGGCCAACCGTCGCCCATATCTCCCAGATCCGCCCACTAAACGGCGTTCACCGCCAAGATCTCTCCACAACGCGTCGTTTTGAACAAAAACCGGGGTCTTCAACCGGTTTCCGGGTTCCGGGTTTTTGGCTGGTCAAACCGGGTTTTCGCCTGTTGATCCCGGTTTTTGCTTTTCTTGGTTTTCAGCATCCAACCGGCCCGGTATATTCCCGGGTCGCGGTCGAACCGGTCGGACCGTCCGGTCCGGTCCGGTTCTGACAACCATGCTTCTCTATATGTTTAATAATTTCCAAACTGGCATGCCGTTTAAAAAATGGAGGGAAATTGTTATGTCTAACATTGGTTGATATGAATTGACAATTCTACCCTTAAAAATCTAATGTGCGTTCGCATGTGAGTGCGATTCCATCGTCAAATTTAGGGCGTCGTGCCTTTAATACATGAAAAAAAATTATAAAAATATTTAGTCCAATGGATAACGTGCAAAATACACCATAGTTTGGAGGGCAAAATGCCATTTACCCTTTAAATTATTAAATTATCTTCCATGTATTAATAAGAAATATTTACGTACACAATATTCTCCAGCAAACTAAAATAAGATATTGAGCAAAATAGTACGATTAATATAACAGAACTCTCAAAATTGAATGTGATATATTGCCTATATTATAATTTCTAAGAATATACACCCTACAGCAAGCTTAATAAATATCCAAAAAAATAATAAATAAATAAATAAATAAAATACACACTTATACTCTGCTCAACTCAAAACCCTGAAAAGATCCAAACTTGTGATGCCTTATTTCTGCTAGATTTTCCTCAACTGGTAATATTTCACCCAATTCATTGTCATTATCAGGCACATAATCTATATATAGAGACGGAGAAGCTTCTACACTTAGACTAAACGACGGAGATGATTCCACCGATGCATCTAATGAACGTACTGCCAAATTCTGGTTCCTTCTACCAACATTTCTCCTAGCTTTCTCCCTCCATCTTTTTAAACCCGCCATTACTCCTTCGGGCAGTACAGAATTTCCCATTGATGTTCCCATCTAATCATTAAGTTACAGTTCGCAATTTTTAGTTTAATTTTTTTGAAAGAACGAGAAACATTTTTTTTTTATTTTTTTTACCTGAGTGATTAAAGCGTATAAGGGGAGAGTGACGTAGCCGCATAAAATGGGAATCACCACTCCCATTGCTAGTCTTATAACGATGTCTTCGGTTTTCCGGTGGAAGCAAGACCTCAATCCGAATTTATACTGTTTCAAGAATGATTGAAAAGTTCTGAGTAATGTAATTTAATTTAATTAATGATGAAAGTAGAGAATGATTTTTGTACTAATAGACTACTCACCCAAGACCATGTGAAGAACGCCACTTGAAACGAGTTCTGCGTTTCGCCAAAAAAGTAGGGTTTAGATTGGAATTGTCTGCTTGGTAAAAAAAAAAGATATATCCGCAATTTGATTAGTTATTTACCTGAAATGAGATGAAGTGCATGAGGTGGAGAAGAAATTTCGGCCGATCGAACCAGAAGAAGTGATCGCTTGGTTTGACAAGAATAGATCCTCTTATAACATGGGATTTATCACTGCTGTCTAAGCACATTTTGGTAATAATACCTTGTAACTTGGTCCCAACCACAAGTAGCAACTGCAACAACATTTAATTAGTTTCTTCTGTCATTTATAAGATTACTCTCTAGCAATAGAATATATTTGATATTTGATATTCATTTCTTACCAAGAACGGGATGAAGGGGAGCCAAGCATAGTTGCGAAACACTGCAATGAGAAATGCAAGATATTTCATACAACAGCTCTACTTTTTACAGATTCGGAATTGCTAACGCTGTTTAATTTATATTTGACTCTTACCATATGCATTGAAGAATATGAAGAGTACCGAGAAAATCCAGATCCAAAGACTGCAAAACAAAATGCGATTGCGTTACATATTCCAGAAATTATGTGAAAATATGTGTGTATGTGTGTGTATCAGCTGATAAATTAGCAACGTTGTGTATAATTACCGCATGCCTACAACCACCTTGAAGTCCTTCTCAAGTGCTCTCATTATGTACTTTTGGAAGTCAAAGTCACTTCCCTCGGAAAAATGGGCCTGAATAAGATTTTAACTATGTTCTTTTAACATTTGATTTTGGCAAAAACCTCCGAAATTTACGAGTAAAAACAAGAAAATTTTACCGTGATGAATCCATGTCGAAGTGTGAGATAGTCTACTTTGTAAACAGATCCGAAGAACTGACGGAGAAAATTAACCTGGCAAAATAACATAAACATCAGATGCAACTTCTCATAATAATACATATCAATCAGAGAATAATCGTCGTTGGTGATTAGTTTACCGGCAGGCGTAGCAATCTAAAATTACTCCAATATTTAAGATGCCGTTTTCCAAACGACGTTTGATGAATAAACTGGAACCTCCTAGGATCTATATAATCCACAAAGCAGCAATGAATTTAACAAACAGAATAACTAAGTTTGCCCTTTTAAATTTAAAAAAAAAAAAAAAAAAAAAAAAAAAAAAAAAAAAAAAACTTCACCATTTGAAAATTGATATTCGAGTGTTCTTGTTTCTGCTTCCCAGTGTTTCCATCTCTTCATCTGGAAGTTTCGACAACGACACGGAAAAAGGTTGTCCGAAAATGTTGAATGTGAACAAGAGAAAAGATCCTATGAAAAAAAGATATGCATAATAATACCTTTGCGGTCCCAAGACTGAAAGTGAGGAAACTGGACAAAACGTGGAAGAAAGCCAAAAAGAATATCTACATCTGAAGCTGCTGAACACCAGCTCTTGACATTAATGATACCTTCCCCTGTATTCAACCCCAATTTCATTTTCCGCTTAAACAATATATATATATATATATATATATATATATGTGTGTATATATATATATATATATATATATATATATATATATATATATATTTATAATAGATCAATTAAAATTAAAGCATATCGGAATTGCTAGTACAGTTAAACCTCTATATTTAATACAGTGAGGACTAAGAAAATTCTATTAATTTAGCGGAATTATTAAACTATCGAGGTATAATTTAACTCGTTTTCACCGAGTCGGGACCGAGAGAAACTATTATTTAATCAAGGTTATAAATTTATCGAGCGTTAATTTATCGAGGTCATTTTCAGCTTAAACAGTTTAGATACATACTATCCAAAAATAAATTAAAATTATAATAAATAAATTAAAATAAAGCAGATCGGAATGACTAGTAATTTACCTTTTCAAGACATTTGGATTCTACTTCGTCTTCTTCGTCGTGACTTGTGATGCTCTGGCAAGGAAGAAAAGATTCAGCTACATCCTCTGCTATACATATCTCTGAAATTTGCTTCTCGCATACGGTCAATAGCAACGAGATAAACCCCAAAAGCATTAAATCTGCACGTTTTTTTTTTAAATTAAAAAATAATTATTTAAATTTAAACCACATAGCGGAAGTACCGAAAATAAACCTAGGGCAAAAATGCTCACCTGATTTAATCCTGTTAAGAGCTTGAAGGAGGGATTTCCTCCTCTTCTTCCCCAAATACTGCACTCAAAACACCAAAATTATCAAACTAAAATTAATTGCAAATTAAAACGCGTGATGAAATAATAATTATAATAATAATGATGATAACCTTGGCTAAGAGATGAAGGCCGTGTTCGATAAGAATTGAAACTGCAATCAGAACTAAGCAAACAGTTGCCACCGCCCACGTCGGCGTTGTTTCGAGCGTCGCGCTTTCTCCGCCGCTTTCGCCAGCCATTCAGCACCGCCGATGCTGGTTATTGACGGTACTGTATGGATTCTGTTGGTTACTAATATTTTTTTATTAATTTTTTCGTGCACAGGACAAACAGAGAAATATTTAGTCGAGAGCCAACAAAAAGAACATGGGTTGATATGAAATCAGCAGTATGTTAATATAAAAATGGCGCAGGTTAGTCAAACGTGTGTAGCGTTTGAATTTTGTGCGCCATCTCCAGCCCGGGACCCCCCTTGGCGACGGAGGGCGATGGACGTGTACCTAAAACGACAAAGGATTGGGATCGTTTTAGCAAATCCAAAGTAAAAGATGTTGGGCCACTGCTGTTAACGCCGACCCTCACGAGCGCGTGAGGTGAGGCAAACGCTGGTATGAGAACAGCCAATTGGATTCTTACACGTGTTCGAGAAAGACGATGGGCAGCGGCTTTCTAGAAACTCTAATTAGCAAGCGTATTGTCAACAATATTATATATATATATAGTATAGATAATTAGCATTTAGTAATATTGATTAGCCTCCTAAATTTACTTCTATAAAGCATGAAAAAAGCATGTAATTAGCAATATTATTAGCTGATTTCAAATTCAACAAACCGGGTTGACTTTATCCAACAGAGATACAAAATCACAGTTACAAAATACATACATATTCTGGTGTTCAAACATAGTCATTAATTAAACAAATAAAATAACATGGGAGATACAGAATCAACAGCCATTGTTCAACAAGCACCAATGCACATCTTCTCCAATAAAAACCAAACTCTTACAGTGCTATATCAAGAAGCCGGTCTCTTACACCGTACGCGGAAGCAGAACCAGACGATGCGGTTGCATTTTCCCCCATACCCATTGTCGTAATTTTCCCCTCAGTCAGCGGAAACCCAAAGAGCCTGCAACTATTCTTACACATCGAAACGAAATTCTCATTGTCTCTAAAGAATTGCTGAGTCGGAACGGGCCTATGTGGGAAAGCCACTTCCTTGCCCCCGGTGGGAACCATTCCATGATCGCCATGATTCGCTGATGGTGTGAATTGAAAAGGCAATGAACGGTGAGGATTAGAGTTGAAGACTTGGGGGAGAGTTGACCAGCTATTACCATGGTTTGACACCTGGACTCCGTTGATTATATTAGCAGCGTTGTTATCTACCTGGGGGGTATGGTGGTTAGCTTGTGGGCCCCTTCCATATAGGGATATGGTTTCTTGACCTTGCAAGACCTTGTTCTGGAATTGAAAGGATTCACCTAAGACACTTGTGTCGAAGGAATCTGGATGAAGATGCCTCATGCTGAGACCAGGGTAGCACCGCATATCGGATTGGTGGTGCCTGGAAGCTTCCGCTCCGGCGTATGGAGTTCTGAAAGCAAATACTTCTTGACCTTGCAAGACCTTCTGGAACCTTAGCGGCTCACCAAAGTCTGAAACTTCGTTCCCATCTGTAACAAACAAGGATCGATCACTAACGTTTAGAGAGACAATTAATTCAAAGGACAAAAGAAAAGGAAAACGCAAGCACCTCTCGAAACTGGAAGATCTGGTTTTGCAGAATGCGGAAAGCCGACCCGACCTCTCTTGTTGCCTGGTAAGACAAAGCTGTTGGATCCGGAGACTGAACCAGACAGTTCGATCTCCCAAGGGGAAACCCTATTAAGGCGATTGACATCCATGTCATCCCATCGAACCTGCATATGACATTTGAAATGTATGCCATATTAATATTGCAAACTTTATGAGAGATTTAGAGATTCAACAATCAATATCACCAAAAATTATATATAAACACAAATCCGCAACAAGTACTTGAAAATGTAGAGAAAACGAACACTCAAAGCATGAAAATCAACGTGGTATCAAATTGCCAAGCCAAATCGAGAAACTACATACCAGTAGACACTTCCATTTAGAACCAGGCCATCTTGCAGGATCCACTTCATTAACCCCAATAATGAGGCCACTGCACCTGCCAAATTAAAATTACTTCTCTCGATACAGAATTAATATGATTAAATTATAAAAACACCAACCTTCGTTCAGAAGAATCTTCTGTTTCAAAACGAATTTTAAACCTCATTCCACATGAAAACGAATGTGTGAGGCTCTTGGAGAACTTATGATAAGGTACAATAATCTCGGAGGAATGGGCCCTGCATAACATACTCAAAGTTCAGAGGTATCCTCAACTGGCAAAAGAAGTCACAAGAACGCAAACATGTACATCAACTCATAGAGAAAACATAATGACAAATAAGTATTAACAGAAAAGTAAAATTAAGAAGAGCAAAATAGCATAAACAAGCACCCAGAAGAAGATCTAGCATAATCAAGGACAGTGCAAAGAGAGGTCTCCACATAGTAGACAATGCAAAAATTAGGCTGGTGCCAAAATGACAGTGGATAATAGAAATGGTACTTAGCAAATACATGATTGTGGTACCCATACATACGGCACCCGTGGTTGTCCAAATTAAGTTCATTACTTATGATTAAACGAAAGACGGAGAACAATGACATCTTAGACTAATTTATCACATAGCATCGATCTTGACAGTAAATCTCATTATGTAAAAGGCTCGTATAATTGAAGCTAGAAAACAAATATGCAGAAAATAAAGATACCTTGGATTATAGCAAATGTTAAAAGTACTTCGCATGGAAATGGAATTCACAACAGCAACAACGCTACTAGCATTGAAGTGATTGCTGTTAGGGTGGAGGATGGTAGCATTGCTTTTAACTTGCGCAGCTCTACGAATTCCAAGCCTCAGTTCTCCATCACCACCTCTGTAACATATTATGTGACGTAAGAATCCGGCAATTTTAACTAAAGTTTTCAATTAATTTATAGTGCTTCAACCTTAGAAATAGTACAGCATCTCCAGACACCAGCTTCTTCTTATTGACAAAAGCACTCCATCCAGTAGTCAACAAATGCCTTCGAGGCTGACCTGAACCAGGACAAAATAGAATTGAGTTTTAATAGACGATAGAAAACCGAAACAACAAGATAAGCTTCAGCAATATAACCTCTGTAGATATGCCGAAATTTCCACTCGACTCCATGTAAATCCTTGGCAACAAGCTCCTGCGAAGGTCTTTGTTGCTTATAATCCTGAAAACAGAGTACAGCAACCCGATGATTGAAGTCAACCAAGAGACATAAGCAAATTGATTTGTGGCATATAGAGATTGTGATATTTAATAGAAAAAATAAAGTGGTTTTTCAAGATTAAAATTACCAGGGGAGGAAAGCAATCTTCCGCAGCACGACGAGGAACAGAGAAGCCACCGTGAGTACTAGTATCAGAAGCAGTCAGAGTTTTACAGAACATGTGGGGAGTCATCGACTTTCCCATGCCTTCAGGATCTTCATCTTCAACCTCAGTTTCGATCATGCCTTCCCTCCAGTTTTGCTCAATCTGCCAGAAATGAATTTACCGGCACATTCAATACAATCGGAAAACTAAGGAATTGAGGAATATTTTTTTTCTTGAAAACACAGCATCATATTTGTAGAATCACATTAAACTAATTCCTAAGAATAGAAAAGGATGCTAAATTTAACTGTTTCCATATGTAACAGTTGAATTTGGGCAGAATCATTACAAACTTAACATAAAATTGTATATCAAAGAAGAAAGACATTCATCCTGCAAGATCTACAAACACAACACGCTGCCACATTAGGAAAATTTACCCTTTTAAGATATCAAAAGAAAGAGCTGCCAAATTTGGCAAGAAATTTACACTCACGTTAACGAAATAACCTTATTTCCCCGATGAATTCGAAGATTTTCCAAATGTTAAGAGACTTAGCCGTACCTGCTGATCTGGAACTAGCGACACTTGCGCATAAACCTCATCACTAGCAGCGTCGGCCTGCGGAATAAACTCTCAGCGTTTGTTAATTAAAAAAAATTGACGACAAATAATTAAACAATTGAACATCAAAGTAGAGGCAAAAACTGCATAATTACATGGAGTTTAACATCAACAACGCGACAAAACACGTGCGGGGGGAGATCATAAGCAACGGCGGTGTGCTCCCGGAGTTGTTCGAGATGTCCCTGAGGAAAGTAAACGACGGCACTTCCTTTCTTAGGCAGGGAAATCAACGGCCCCGCACATGCGTGCCACAGCTCCATACATACGGCGGCGGACGACGGCGGAACGGAAAATTCAAAGTTCCCGGAGGCCGCCGACGACGTCGGAGAACCAGACGGAGACGCCGTCTCGTCTTCATTGTCCACGGTATTCAAATCGATTAACCCGCACATCATATTCAAACCCTAAGCAGCCCCACCCCCAAAAAAAACAACACACAGAAAATTAGACCGGATCAGATAACAATAATAATAATAATTATCAGCTGCAGCGAGTGTCGTCTACTTTCTATAACAAGCATAGAGGGGAAATAGTGTGTGGTTGCACCTGAGATTGAGAGAGAGAGAAAAAAAAGGGGGGCGCACCTTTTAAACTCAGCACCGCTGCATAGCATTAGCTTTCTCTCACTAGAAAATGGATTTGCTTTTCTCTTTCCTTCTCTGTACATCAAATCAGACTTTATTTACTCCCCCAGTATTTAAGTTCTATTAATACAGGTACAAAAATGCCTGTTTCACAAAGCTATAGATACATATATCTTTTCAGTTATTAACTAAACTTAAACACATTAATTAATCACAATTATAACCACAAAAAGTATGTGTTTATTTTAATTTTTATACATACATATACGGTAATATATACATACACAAAACAATACACATACATATATATAAGAGGCCCG